CTCCACTCTATACAACTCGGCGCTCCACTAACCTGCTAAGACTCAGTTCTTTTACCGAAAAAGCTCCTTCGTGCACTCTACTCCCTTCTTTTAGGCACATACAAAGCACGATGACGATCACCTCTATAGAAGTCAACCATCATCTCTACAGATGTACCCTTGATTCTGAAGAAAAATATGGCGCCGAAGAAAAAAAACCGAAGAACAAGAGCAGCAGCCTGAGTGGCTTGAGGTTATGTTGAACAAATGGGACGAATGTTTCTCCCGTTTCGATAAGTTTTTCAAGGTGTTCGAAAAACCTGATGAGAGACTCACGCAAATCGCATTTTAAGAAGATTCAGCCTTCTGGAAAGCAATTGTAGCTCTCAGCGCAACGTGAGTACCGCTGCTGCACTTTACAGCACATTAGTCAAGTTTCGGAATGATGCTAATACAGTAAACTCGAAAGCATACAGTACAACACGGGTAGGCATTGAAGTGCATGAACCGCTTCTGATAGAGAAGCTCTCAAAGAAGTGATTGAGAACACTCTCGAAAACGATCTGATAATGGAATGGAAAGTAAAAATTTCGAGATACACCGCCAGAGAGACAACCGACCTATTCAAAAGTGAAAGACAATTATCGCGATCAACTATTGCGGGCAATTGTACTCTGTCATGCACCAGTATTCCATAGTTAGCTTCTCAGTAGAAAAAGAAGCAGAAAAATCTTCGGGAACACCTTGAACCCAAACCTACCTTTAGCAGTGGGGGCGGGGCCTGGACGAGTGTGCCGGGCGTGGCTGCCAGAATTCGATGCGGCAGCCGCAATTGCGTCCCAACTTTCGAAATAGGATACTTTCGAACGTAAGGCAGCGTTCATACTTGTAGCGCTACAGCGTAGCGCTACAGCGCCGCTTCGCAACGTACTGCAATTTCCAACGATGGGATGATTAGAGTTGCTTACAGAGAAAATTGGGAAGGTTGCTGGAGTTTTCTTGAGAAATTGACAAAAAAAAAAGAAAAAGAAAGAAAATGACAACAAACCCCACTTGACAACAAATCTCCCTACCATTGGAAAAGCAAGCACTACATTCCATAAGCAAAAAAAAAACTAATGGTTCCGCACTTTCACACATGTTTACAAGCCTGACCGAAGTAAGACCTTTAGCTGAGCTATGAGCCAACTTTGGCAAAATGCCAGTGGGACCGCGGGCTTAAAGGGACGCGCGGGCTTTAAAGGGACGGATGCAGTTCGGGACCAGACGCCTCGTCCACCTACCGTCTCCGTGAGCCTAGCGAGCCTTGTCGAAATTGCGATAACTTCCTCATCGCGCGCCATTGATGGATAAAAGCGGGATCATCTTCATCAAGGCGCAGAGGGTTCCAGAAGGCGCGAAGTCATTTTGAAGGCCTCTCGAGCGCGGATACTGTCTTTAAATGATACTACCCTGGCCGCACGACCCTCCAAGCTTTTTCCATACATGAAGAGTGCGTCGCCCCTAGCAAAAAAAATGCTGTCTACTCATGGGGCTGCAAGAAGGACTACACGATAGAGAGGCTTGAAATGTAGATATCTGCGTAACAGTTGCTCCAAGGACGAGCAGGAAAGTATTTACGTAGTTAGGATTATGCATCCAGAAGCTTGCGAAACCGAAACATGCCTTAGCAGACATCTAATTCCCAATGAAATGTGCCAGATGACACGGTCAACCTCTTCTAATAACTGGTCGAGGTCCAGGAGACTATCACCTCTTGCACAATCGCCTTCACGTTAGGGATTCCCGGTAGGCGTCACGAATCATGACGTCTACCCATCATCACTTATTACCAACTTACACTAGACCCACATTCTCAAGAGCATGTTTACTCTCTTCAGAGTGCGCTTCACACTAACAACATTCCTGACCTCAATTATTTGTTAACCCTAGGTCCTTATGCCGTGTTCATTACTGAAACTTAGTGTGAACTAGATACTATTTACGATGCTACTCTGAGCTTGAATAATAATTATGGCGTATATCGCTGTGATAAGGAAGGATCTAGTTAGGTAGAATGGAGTGCCGCTCTTATACTTAGGGAGATTGATCACTACCTAATCTCAGCTAGAAGTTTTTCTGTATTCTGCCAAACCGTTGTCATTCATATTAACCTCAACACCACTGATATGGTAGTTGTCACCACCTATAGAAGTTCCTCTACGAAAACAGCAACGTTTCTGGAACTCCCCAAATATCTTAATGAACCATGTCTAACGTGGCCACAAAATGCTCTCATCATCGGTGATTTCAACTTTCCTTTGATTGACTGGGAGACCCTTAACTACAGCGGGGACATTTCATCTACATCGTTGACTAACTTCATCGAGTTTGTCAGCTCCCACTATGATGAACCGACACACGGACCTAACATTCTAGACTTGGCTCTAGCAACAGATCCCACAATAGCTCCTGAGCTCATGATTTCTCCTCCTTTTAGCACTTCTGATCACTGATTTCTCCTCCTTTTAGCACTTCTGATCACTGCTGCATCACAAGGAGACCTTCTAGTATAGGCAGCGATGGAATCGCTACTCTATCTCAAGCCCCACATAGAAACTTCGCTAAAGCTGATGTCAACGGAATAGTCCATGCGTTGACGCAGATCAACTGGACAGAAGAGCTAAGGCCTTGTGATGTTGATGAATGTTATAACAAATTTGTCGGCATTTGCCATGAGATCATTAACACTCACGTCCCTTTGATGAGAAAGAGAGTAGCTAATTACCCCAAAAATTCGCTTTCTTGACATCAGAGCAAAGTTCTGTTTTTCTAACATCCAACGATATGGTTCACAGAAGTACCCCAAGACCGCACGAAAGATTAAGAGAGAACTAGCTTCCCTCGCTATCCAAGAAGAATGCAGTGTTGCGAGAACTCACAACAAATCACAGTTCTTTAGGTTTTGTAATCCCAGATTGAAGCCACTGGAAATATACCCCTTTGCTTGGCGGTACCTCTCTTATAAAAACTGATGAAGAAAAGGCCAGTCTTTTTGCTGTCGACTTCGAATCAGTTTTCAAGTCGCCTCGACAAGTAGACATTGACTATCCCCAACTTACCAATTTACGGCCACAGTGGATTGATATCTCTAGTAATTCTGAGTACCCTATTCTCCGTCGTCTTCCAGCAAGGGACTCAACATCACCAAATAATATTCCCTACGTATTTCTCAGAAACTCAGCGCTTGGCCTCCACTGACTATACTATTTAATAGATTTTTACTGCACGGTACAGTTCCTAGTGCTTGGAAAATTGGGATCCATGGCACGCCATGGTTTTACAATATCAATAGACGTTCCGCCCGATACATAAGAAAGGAGCGAAAGCAGCCGCTACCAATTACCGGTTAAAGACAGCTCCCGCGATAAAAGTGTCATGGATAGTTGATGTTCAAGCTGATAAGTAATTCCCCAGAAAGACAAAAAAAGCAAGAAGGTCCTTCAAAGAACACCATAAAGAAAATCGGCGGCCCTGACAACCGACACGCTCCGTGTCAATCTCTGTGCAAGCTGGTCAACAAATCACTTAATCACAATAGTTAGATTTCATTCGAATGCAAAAAAGATACAAAAACAACAAAAACAGAAGAAAAAACTCATTGAAAGAAACAAGAAAACATTTAAAAAGCACGGCGTCCGAGTTAGATTATGATAGCGTGGCATATTTTGAGATGTAGTGAATAGAAGCGTCGAGTTTTGCACCAGGAAAATTGGGAGTCGCTCGTGATTTCTACGCGTTTATCTTGCGAGAGTGTTGGGGTTCATGTGGGGTATTTGCTTTGATTAATAAAATGTATAAGGAGAAGAGTCGATTCGTGGCTGAGCGCAGACAGATGTTAGAGAAAAGGACATGGAAATCGGGACGACCCATAATGCCCGCCGCGCCCAACAAAGAACAATCTAACTGAACAACTGAGTGGCCTCCGTCGGAGGGCATCTAGCAAGTGGGCGGTCCAACTGGGCGGGCGTTAGAACTAGAACTTTCAGCGGCTGTAGCTCGCTCCTCGCTCGCTGTGGAGTCGCGAGAGTGGGATAGTCTCTAGCTTGGGGGCTGTACTACTTGCACAAAAAGGACGACCATGTACTACTCGAGCGCGGAGGCTGCCTTTAATATGCCTCACCAGTTCAAGTATTGGAGCGAGTGATTTGTAAAGGAATAGCTGATTCTACAGCTCATCTCCAATGCACCATAGTTTTTTCAATACAACATCTGCCCTCCTATCAACAATTTCACTATGGTTTAAAGAAGTTGATGAATGTAACTACGTCATTGTACGTTACCTTGATTCAAGCACTCGATTCCATCTCTCTTCCCCTTCTCTTTATAATAAAACGATCAAAGGATTCGATGGATGCCTTCTCAATTTTCTAAAATCCTTCCCAACGGGACGACTGCAATTAATGGGAATAAATGACGTGAGCTCGCGTACCTATCTCACTACAAGTGGGGTTTCCTATGGGTATTGCCTAGATCTCTCATGCTCTTGCTCTTCACTGACGATCTACCCAGATGTCTGTCAGAAGCAGTAAGCTGTTCACTATTTGCCAATGACTCTAAAATATCGGTGCTTAATAATTGTAAACTACTGCAAAATGCCTTAGATGCAGTTAATGAATGGTCAATAAAGTGGAAAGTGGAAATATTGCCCGAGAAAATATTTGCTGTAAAAAAGGAAAAAAGAAAACGAGATCGATTTCAGAAAAAAGATCCAAGAGTGAATTTAAATCCCGACGGTACAACCTAACATATCCAGACTACATAGTGACCTTGGAGTCACTTATACTGATACCTTCGACTACAGCTCATACATCCATGCATCAGTGCTCAAGGCCAGAAGAAGGGCTAATTTTATCCTCAAAGCTTTCCAAATTCGCGACCCTCCCTTACTCTTCAAGCTATTCACGACTTATGTGAGAGCTCTAATAAAGTATTGCCCTCAGCTCTGGTCATCCTCTTAAACCCAATTAATACACCTAAAGAATTCTAGGATAACTGGTGTGTGTTTTCAAATAAAAATCATACTGTGTACATTAATAAGGCATTCAGTGGGCTTCACTCAGCCACTTCAATTTCTTCAGTAAAGTCAATCAATCACAGTATCATCCTGAGCTGCCTTTCTATGTTTGTCATGGTGATTGACCAATAAAT